CCTTCTCCGAAGCTGCCCTGGCCAGCTGTCCGCCGGCCCCCAGAGCACCACGCCCACACCCCCTTTGTGACTGTCCTCGAGACTCCTCCACACTGGCCAAGCGCAGCGGGGAGGGGTCTAAGGCGGCTCTGTGAGTGTCCGGGGCGTGAGGGCTGCGTATCAAAGTGCGTGGGGCCCAGTGAGGACCCTAGGGTAGAGCACTGGAGCAGGCGCAGGGCTGACGCCCTCACTGACAGCGCGGCGCCTACGGCTGCACGTCACGTGGGTCTGACACGTGCCCGTCTCAGGACTCTCAGGAGCATGCAGCGCGATCCCCAAGGAGAGCTCTGTCACATGCTCACACCACAAGTTGGCTATTACTAATTTCATAACAATAAAAATATTATCATATGTAATGATATAATATGTACTTAATAAAATACAAGTAATCAGAACTATTACTTCTCTTTCTTTTACGACTCCCCAATGCGATGGTGTTGACCTGTTGCCGGGGAGACTGTACGTAAACTCAGGAAGAGCGAAGAAATCACATTTCACACCAAAGATGCTCTTTAGATCTGAGCAGGCTGCCCAGTTGGGGGAGTGAATACTTGTTTGAGAATTAAAACCCAGGTTTGACACCCTTTATTCCAACAGCCAACGTGGGTTAGTGGTGAGGACACACAGTTGCAGCCAGAGGCACGTGGGTGTGAGCCGACCGCGGGACCCTGGACAGGTCCTTCGTGTCTGGCAGCCTCAGTTCATTTGTGAACATAAGAAACAATGGGACCATGTGACCTGGCATCCAGGGTCTCCCACGAATAGCTTTTTCCCTTTAGACTCTGGCCCTTCCCTACCACTCCGCACCTTTCTCCTTCTGTGTTGTGTGCTCAGCACCGGATCTGTCTGGTCGGCCGTTTACAATGCAGAAGCAATTTTTCTACAGTGACCACAGATCTCAGGAGATAAACTAGAATAGGCAAGCCACAAGCGCACAGGCACACTTAACAGAGGGGACTCAGTGCCCCCACATGGTGGACACTGGGACACAAGACAGACAAGACAGTCCTGGCCCTGCCCTTAGGAAGTGCACTTTTTCCCAACAGCATCTGACTTAGAGTAGGTGCTCAATAAGGGCTTGGAGAAATTGAGGGAGATGAAAGGAGGAGACACGAGGACGAAGATCCCCTGGGGCACAGGAGCTGCCTGGGAAGAGCGCTGGGCCTGCAGTGGCGCTTGGGGTTGCTTAGGGAGGCGGGGCCGAGGGTGCGCCCCAGGATCGTGGGACAGTGAGGACACGAGCAGGTGACGCTGGTGACCAGCTGACACAGGGTGCCTTCGAGCGCCCATGGAGAGAAGCTGGGTTTCAGAGAAGCTTGCAGTCCAGGCCGGGAGGCTGGGTGTTACCCCAGACAGTGGAGGGCCATGAGATTCCACCCCCTGAAAAGGGAGGAAACACAAGAAAAGCAGTGATTAAGAAGAAAAACCCAGGGCAGTGAGTGCGATGGACGAGGTGAGGAGAGCACCCAGTCTGTTGCCAGAGCCCAGGCCGGGGCGACAAGGTGCTGGCCTTGGGCGGTGGCAGGGGGAATGGAGAAAAGGTGAGGCTGGGAAAGATGGGGAGAAACGCTGGGCCACACTCAGTGATAATTATTAAAAATAATCGGCCATCACTGATGTTATTAAAAATAAACGATTAATAATAAAGGGCTGCTGCGGCCTGCGCCTGTAGTCCCAGCTACGGGGGGAGGCTGAGGCTGCTGGATCACCTGACCCCAGCAGGTCAAGGTTGCAGTGAGCTGTGATGGTGCCAGCCTGGGTGACAGAGCAAGACCCTATGTCCAAAAAAATAAAACATGGAAAGGGGCACTGACTGCCAGGCCTCACGCCGGGAGAAGGTCCCTGGGCCGATGGGGAAGCAGGTGGCAGGCGAGGGGCGCCGCCTGGGGCAGGACCTGGGCGCCGCGCCCTGGAGGGCGGCCGCCCGCAGCAGGCTGCGATGGGTGTGTGTGGAATAAGCGATGTCCCCAAGGAGCTCGCCGTGTCCTTGGGGCTCTACACAGGAGGTCACAGAAATGACCCAGGATCATTCGCATCCCCTTCTTTGGAGTAGGAAAGAAAATGGGTGAAAGGAAACAGGCAGCTCCGAGCGAGGCGCACCTTGGCGCGGACCTACTCCGGAGCATCTGCGCTTGCGCACTGCGCCCTGGGCGCGGACGGAGCCGCCCCATGCCTCAGCGCACCTGCGATCCACACCAAACACTCAGGCACACGCGGTTTAAGATCCGTAGGAAAAACATCTCATTGATTTTTCTAAAAAGTGATTTTAACATAATGTGCAAAAACTAAAATTAGACTGAAAGGGAAATTGTCAATTAGAGTGCTAATTGTCTGCCCCCCATAAAAATAATTTGCAAGTCATGTTTTTTGGGTGGTTGTTAAAAACTATCCTGTGTTTCTCGGGGGAGGAGAAGAGCCAAGAAGAGCCATAGAAGAGCCAAGCAGGTCCCAGCAGACCAATGTGACAGCAGAAGCCCTTAGGACGGTGGCTGCAGGGCCTGTGCCCACCTCCAGCCTGCTCAGATCCCACCCACATCTGCTCTGCCCCATTCCTCGGCTCCTCTCTCCTGGACCCCAGGTGCCTGCCCGCCCTCCTGGCTCAGACAGCCCTCCAAAGTGGCCTTGTGGCCACCGGCAATCCATCCCTCCTCGCCTGGTCTCACGGTGGCCTCTCCCTCTGGGCACCACCCAGTCCAGCCCAGCCTGGCCCCCCGGGAGCCTCCTGTGCCCCACCTGCCCAGGCATCCTCACCTGCTCCTCCCATCCAAGAGGAAGCAGGACTCGGGGACTGGGACGGCCACCCACTGCAGGTGCTGCCTGGTAATAGCATGTCAGAGGACCTTCTCTCTGTACCCACCAGCTCCAGCTGACGACCTGCAGGCGCCCTCTGACAGCGCAATCTTTGGCAGCCACTGGCTGCCTGGACTCTGTCCTTGCAAGAAAGATTTTGAGATGAAAGAATGAGCTGTGGAATCATCGTTAGAGGAAGGAGAAAAGAGCCTGCTGAGGAGCCCTCCCTGCCCACCTGCCCCATCCCGTCTGCTGCCCCAGCCCACCTCCCTCTCCTTCCTTTCTCTCCCACTCTCTGCACTTCACTCCTGCACTCTTTCTCCTCTCTCCTTTCCTTTGCTCTCCTGTTTTGGTGCCAGAAACAGTCTAATTACAACAGAGAACTTGAAGAGACAGAAAAAAAAACCATCATACATAGCTGATTAAAATGTCCTATAAAATCTAATTCGTAAAGCTCAAATCAGAATAAGAAGTGTTCCTCCCAGAATTCAAGGCCAATCTGATTTCTAATGAGACTCCTCAGAGACTCCACCAAGGTCTCACAGGCTGTGGCCCGCTGCCTTCCTGCCTGCCAACTGCCTGCGAGACCGCACCCCTCCCTGGGGAGACGCCAGCTCTGCTGTCTGTCCTCCCAGCTCCCTTGGTCCGTCCTTGTGCCCCAAGTGCCCTTCCTGGGGTCGCCTGCCACTGAGCGCTCGTCCTGTGTGTGGTCTGAGCGCAGGCCTGCGGCCCTAGCATGGGCGGCAGCCGGTGTCCAGGAGCTCTGTAGCTGGCTCTCCCAGTCGGGGAGGAGAGGTGGTGGCGGCAGCTTGCCCCCCAGGTCCAGTTTGCCACAGTAAGGGCTGTGGCTGCACAAAGCAGGGCGGGAAAGGGTGAGGGCTCAGAACACTGATGGACCCCAGCTCCAACCCTAGCTCCCCCACTCATTAGCTATGTGACTTTGGGCAGGTTACTGTACCTCTCTGATCCTGGTTTCTTGGTGAAATGAGGCATTTCTGCCCTGAAGTATCCATGTAATTAAGTGGATTGCAGGAGAAAGGGACATGTAAAGCACTGACGGCATTAGAGGCCCCATGCTCAGTAAGGGTCGATGTCCCGCTGTCAACTGTGGCCTTCAAGGGAGCATGGGTCACGTCACCCTTTTCCTTTAGCAACTGCCTCCAGGACCAGGCTGAGGGGCCCGCACACTGCACAGCTCAGTGGGTGAGAAAGACCGGGGTTCATAGCCTCGCCTGCCACCAGGCAGCTCCCTGGGCAGCTCAGCCACACCCCAAGCCTCTGTTTCCCAAACCCGTGGGAGTGGCACTGCTGACGCCCACAGGAGGGCTGCTGCAGGTTTGGTGAGAGGGCACGCAGGGTAGGAACCCACAGGCACTGCTCCTGCTGCCATCCTCACCCCCGTGCCTCATTTCCCCACCTGGAAATTGGGATAAAAGCAGCACCTGCCATTTTTAGGTGGATGAGGATGAAAATATTAACAAGCTAATATTTTAAAACCTTAGAACAGAGCCTGGCATCTTGTGGATGTGTGTGTTTAATGAGATACTGGGAACTGACCAGCTCGACGGCTCCGTGCCATCTTGTTTTGGGGTGTGGGTGAGGAGGGGCAGGGTCCACCACTGATTTTGTCCCGAGCAGTCACGAGGCTGCAGGAAAGAAGGGGACAGGGAGGACCTGGCGGGACCTGACCACCTGCTCCCTCCACCACTTCTGCCACAGGACTGCCACCCGCCCCTCTGAATTTGGCCCTAGGCCTATCTGGGAGGCTCTAAAAAACAACAAAATGATTTAATCAAAACCACACCGCTCCCCACCCCCACTGCCCTCATCATAGGCAGGCCCCTCCCCTGCGTCTGCTCCAGCGTGGAAGTGTGCGCTGCGCCAGGACGTCCCGCAGCACCCGAGTGGCACATCCCAGGGGTGGCAGGTGATGGCCCCTGGAGGCTGGGGTGTGGCTGGGCCAGCACAAGTGTTAGGGGTTGTGAGCAGAGGGCTGCACTTGGGAGCCAGCCCTGGCAGGAGGTGACGGGGCTGGGGCGGAGACGGGGTGGGGGTGGCGGGAGTGCTGCCGGACCCCCAGCTGGAAGCCAGCAAAGCTCTGCTTGCTGAGGGGAGGGCGGCTCCCGCGCTGCACCTGCACGTGCCTGACCCTGTGCTTGTGTCTTTCCTAGGCCAAGTCTACTCCTTCAGCCAGCAGCCCCAGGACCAGGTGGTGGTGTCTGGACAGCCGGTGACACTGCTGTGTGCCATCCCAGAATACGATGGCTTCGTTCTATGGATCAAAGACGGCTTGGCCCTGGGTGTGGGCAGGGACCTCTCAAGTGAGTGCCTCCCACCCATCCACCGCTAGGGGGCACCCAGCTTCCCAGGCGTTCGGGGTCAAATTTCTAGCTTTCGCTGCAGCTACCCTGGGCAGAGTCAGGCTAGGTGAGCCCTGAGTCCATGAGCAATGAGCCCACGGGTCCCTGAGACTATGAGTAATGAACTACAAGTAACCCCCATCTGGCTGTCAGTTCCAAACCTAACTTCATGTTGCCCCAGAGAGTCTGCTCCAAACTCAAACATGACTCCCATGAAGTCTGATTTCCAGAAATCAAGTGTTTCTGTTTCTTGGCCCAAAATGTACCCCCACTTACCAAGGCATGATGATGAAGGAAACAGAAGCACAGCCTGGCTCTCCTAGGCCTCCTACCCACCAAGGAGCCAAGAAGCTGGAAACTCACAAAGAAACCTGGTTGATCTTAGGGGTCATCATGTGATGGGAAGAAAAGAAAGACAGGACATGTCTAAAATAAACTCCGAACCTTGTTCAGCCCGCCCAGGCTGGTGTTCAGCAAAGCTGCCCCAGGGGTTGGGGGTCCCGTGGCTGTTGCCTGCTGGCGTGCAGACTCACTGACTCATGCTAACCTTTGTGAAGGGGGCCCTGTAAGCCCACACAGGCGCCTCTCCAGGCCATCCTCTCCCCAGGAGAAGCAGGAATGGAAGGGTCCTCGTGGCCCCATCATGGTCAGCCACCACCTTCCTGCCCTGCAGAGAGCAGGCACCCGGGTGTCTGTGAGGCTTGGCACAAGCTGGGCGCCATTGCCCTGTGCTTTGGGAATGGCTGAGGGTGGAGGAGAAGAGAAAAATATTATTCAGTTAGAAAGTAACCTTGCCTCTCCCATGGTATGCAGCTGCAGGAAAAGGAAAACAGAGTGATGTTTAATATTTTAAAATGTGAGTTATGTCTTGCCAAAAATGTATGTTGAAACATTATAGCATTGGTCAACAGTAGTCTCAGGGTTTGAATACTGCAGCCCAGCTGAGCATGGATAAAATACACAATAATATCTCCAAAATATACTGTGCTGCCATAAAGTTTAAGTGTTATGGGAACCAGCCAATTTCAGAGACTCTGAACTCCCTTCCCCTAGAGAAACCTTTCCCAGCTAGACTCGCTAGTGCACCAGGTTGTGGGGAGGGGTGGGTTCGGCATTGCCCTGGTGCTGGGTCAGGTGGCCGTCTGGTTTCCTGGCCAGGACAGCCTTCAGTCAGGGACAGGGTCTTGTTGGGTCAGTGGCCAAGAGGAGGCCCAGGTCACTAGGGATTGTTCACAGAGTGGTCATTGTGGCATTGATAATTGACTGGCTTCCAGTTCCATAAATGGCTCCTGGAATCCAGGATTGGGGCCTGCTCAGCACTGAAGGACAGTGGCCTTGCATGAGCTAGGGTCTGTTTCCTGTCCAACTTGACTTGGTTGGCCCCCTCCATGCAGAGCCAATGAACACAAGCTCCTGATAAAAAAGTAGTTTATGGCCCATATTTGATCACTTGTCCCAAAAATAGCATCATGGCAATAATGACAGATACTTGCATGCTCAATAAATACTGCTTTCTTGCCTGGTAAGAAAGTAAACGTAACAGAGCTCAACTTCGTACGGCAAGTGTCCGTGGAGCACGGACACTGCAGATGTCTCCCTCAGTGTTGTGGGGCTTCAGCCTGCTGCTCCCTGTCCTCCCCCACTCCAAACACGCAGCCCCACAGCGTCTGCCGGGAATGGCGCCCTCGCTGAAGACCAAGTGTCTTTCTGGTCACCAAGGCCCGAAAATCAGTCAAGGGAAACGACTTATGAAAACACTCCCTCATGTTGATAGAACATTTTTCTTCTGAAAATCTCAATTATTTCCCAGACATTATCTCATAAGTCTACAATGATCTGGAGGGGAAAAGAAAGATTTTCCCCTTTGTTTGGCAGGTAAACAAAGTCAAGTTGAGAAAGAAGTTGACTCAATTATACAGCCAATCCCAATGCGTGAGACTCTAACGCTTAACCCCAATGAGCCCAGAAACCTGCCTGCTCTCCCTTAGAAAGATGAAGACTTCTTTGGCTACCTTACCTTATTCACTCTTGTTTTTTTTTTTTTTTTTTTTGAGACAGAGTCTCGCTTTATTGCCCAGGCTAGAGTGAGTGCCGTGGCGTCAGCCTAGCTCACAGCAACCTCAAACTCCTGGGCTCGAGCAATCCTCCTGCCTCAGCCTCCCGAGTAGCTGGGACTACAGGCATGCGCCACCATGCCCGGCTAATTTTTTATATATATATCAGTTGGCCAATTAGTTTCTTTCTATTTATAGTAGAGACAGGATCTCGCTGTTGCTCAGGCTGGTTTTGAACTCCTGACCTTGAGCAATCCGCCCGCCTCGGCCTCCCAGAGAGCTAGGATTACAGGCGTGAGCCACCGCACCGGGCCAAACTCTTGTTTTAATTTCAGTTAGCATTTATAGACTACTTACTGTGGGCCAGCACTTCACATAGGTTATTCTATGTAATTTTCGCTGTAACTTTATGAGGCAATAGTATTGTCCCCATTTTACCAGTAAGGAAACTGAGGCACAAGGAAGTTAAAGTAACTCCCCCAAGACAACAGAGCTAGGAAGTGACGGAGCAGGCATTGGAACCCAGGCAATTTGATTGCAGAACCCAGACTCTAAATATTTTTGCCTCCTTTGGGAGTACCAGGAGAGAGTGATGATACTGTGGAAAGAGCTAGAACGTCCTCAGAATCTATGCTTCTGAGTCTATGTTTTTGAAAGATGCTGCCAGTCCTTGGGATAGCATCACGGCTCCCCGCCTAATTAGGCAAATACAAACACACCCATCACTGATGTTTTCAGCAGCTCACAAGAGAGAAGTCCTGCTGCTGATAGCTTGCAAGACAACAAAAACCCAAGCTCCAGCCAAGATGCCTGCAGGGGACCAGGGACTAATCACACAAGATGTGGGGTCCAGGCCAGCGGGAGGGGCTGGGGCTGCGAGCCAGCTGTGCTGGGGCAGCGCTGCAGCACAGAGAGGACTGGACCAGAACCCTCGCCCGGCCCTAGGGGTGCCAGCTGAGCCTACCTGGGCTCCTTCCCAGAGCCCAGCAGAGGGCAGGAGGGGTGGGCAGGACAAGAGGCAATGCTCTCGGGCAGACAGCTGGTGGCCTTGTGAGCATCTCTGGCCAGGCCAGCACAGCTGAGGAGGCAGGGCCATTTGATCGCACAGTGAGGACAGTGGTTGCTGTGAGGACACGAGCCTGGGGGCACAGCTGCACAGGAAGCGCCCACAGAGCACTCCAGGAAGGCTGGCAGAGGGCCTCAGCCACCTCCCTGCCCTGCCGCAGCCCACCCCCGGGAGGCCTGCCCACCCTGCGAGACCCTTAGCTTGTGGAGGTGGGAAGGGCCTTTGAGCTCTTCTAGTCCAATGTTTCATCCAGTGTAGAAATCGCCTCTGCACCATCCCTGAGGGGTGCTCCTCCAAGCCCTGCTGGAACACAGCCAGTGACAGGACGTTGCTACTATTTCTGGCAGCCCACATCCTTGTTGAACACCTCAAACAGCTCAGAATATTCTGAAGAACTTCCCCAGGTGGATTCTACTTGTTGGTGTGGTGCCATCCTCGAGAACTACATGAACATGTCTAACTCACACTAAGGGCCTTTGAAATATTTACATGCTCCCTGTCTTTGTTCCTGTTTCTCTCTCACTTGCTCAAGCCCTCATCTTCTCTCTAAAATGCCGGGTGTGTCTCCAGCCCCGTCCACCATGGTGCACGCCGAGCTCTCCGGCTGTCCTGCAGGGCCCTGCCGGAGGGGTGGGGCAGAGCTGGCCTCTGAGGAGAGGAGGGGACCAGCACAGGGGTGCATGTGGGGTTCAGTTATAAACCCACACTGTCAGTGAGGGGACAGGTGGACGGTGGGTCCAATGGGGAGAAGCTGAGAAGGTCTGGAGGTGGAGACCCGGGACAGAGAAGCTCTGCCCAACTCGGCCAGCGTGACTGAAGCTGATGTTTACATTCAGCCCTACACAGCAGCAGGGAAGCTGATCAATGTTTTATCATCTTTAAACTTTTATTTATCTATTACTCATTGCCAATGGTATAAGGGGCCCCAAATTCCTAAGTGTCCCAAGTGCCTCCTAAGCGCTTAATCAGGCCCTGGAGTTAGGAGTGGGCAGCAGGAATGACTAGACAAGGGACCCAAGGCTCAAAGTGACCGGAGGTTGCTGGACACCAGAGGGGGGACTCAGATTTCTGCTTCCTGTCCATTCTGAAACAAAACTTTTCCCAAGTCACTCTTGATCATTTTCCAAATATTTCCGTTTTTTCTTCCTTCCCTCTCTTACTCTGTCTTCTCTCTGTGATTCTCCGCCTGCGAGTGTGTGTGTGTCTATGTCTGTGTGTCTCCTCGCCCCGTGCGCCTCCTTATCACGGTGCACCTCTACTCGGCTGTGCCCAGAGCTTAGCACCTGCTCTCCGGAGCAGGAACCCACTGTGTCTGTCCACACTCAGCATTTCCATCTCTCCTAGTAGTGGCTCCTCCAATTTTCCTAAACTTAAAACCAACAGTACCCTTGTGCACACACACGCACCCACACACCCACACACGCACACTCTGCCCAATGCCCTGGGAAAACTCTTGCTTTGTTCTCCTTGCACTGAGATCGGGCCAAGGATCACCTGCTGGGCCAGTGTCTAGAGTGCCCCTTCCTGGGTCCCCCCTGCTGTTCCTATTTGTCGGGAGTGTCTCCTGCACCCCTGCCCAGCCCCTGAGCTGCCTGCTGTCTCCACAGGTTACCCGCAGTACCTGGTGGTTGGGAACCACCTGTCAGGGGAGCACCACCTGAAGATCCTGCGTGCAGAGCTGCAGGACGACGCTGTGTACGAGTGCCAGGCCATCCAGGCTGCCATCCGCTCTCGCCCCGCGCGCCTCACGGTCCTGGGTAAGATTGCCAGCTGCTCGTGGGGGCACCAAGGGCTCAGCTCCAGGAGGGTCCCTCCAGCCAGACTGGGGAGAACCCCCGGCTGGACTTCATCCCACAAGGCTCCAGCTACTCCTCTTCCCATGGTGTCCATACCACCCCATGCAAAGGCGACAAGCAAAGGCTCCTGGCCTGGGAAATCAGAAAGCCAAAGACCAACTGACTATGCCTCTGTCCTGCTCAGGTGTGTCTGCACCTCGTGAAGCTAATAAGGGCTCCTAGTGCTTGTTTATTCAATGGGAAAACACTCTGTGCGCGTACTATCTAGGCCAGGGGAGTGTGGCACAGTCCATGGGACCTTCCTTCTGAGCTAGCCTTCCTGGAGTGCTGACAAGCCCTGTCTGTCCACGCCCCTGTAGCAGCAGCCTGGAGTGGATTCTCTGTGGTCCAAGTTTCCATGGGGCCACCAGTGACCCTGGTGCCTTCCCCACCCCTTGCTGCCCCCTGGGAATCCCAGCTCTTGGGTCACTCCTAGGAAAGTTCATTTTAGGTCCTTATTCCATGCCATATCTTTTCCCTTGGTCTGTCTTCATCTTGCCTTCCCAGGAGTCCAGGACCCTGGAACATCCTGCCTGAAGGCAGGGAAATGGGCTCGGTGACCTCTTGCACTGCCTACTTCTGACACAGAGTCCAGCCTGGCAGGCTCTCTCCTCTGGCAGGTGTTGCTGAGGGTCAGGGCAGCTGGGAACCAGGCCTTGCACACAAGTAATAAGAGCTCACATTTGCAAAGCGGTTTACAGCAGCTCTCAAAGCTCTTGCACACACATAACCTCAGCTGTTTCTGACGCTGTTCTGGGACAGGGATTGTTGCCCCAGATGAGAAACTGAGGCGCAGGAGATGCAAAGGGCTCCTGGCAGCAGCTCATAGCCACTCATGTAGGAGTCTGCCAGGCGTGGGCGTGGGTGGAGCAGGGCCACCCAGCAGCAAGTGTTGTGAAGGCTCGACAACCGGGCCAGCAGCTGGGTTGTGCAGCTTGCCAGTGGATGGGCGCACGGCGGCTCAGAGACGGGATCCTTGAGAGTGTGTCAGGCTGTCTGCAGATCTACATGGCCAAACACACCAGGCACATGGGTCCACACGCGGCAGCTGGTGGCCACTTACCAAGCTCAGCTCAACTTCTGGAGGGGCGGCGGGAACCTGGGGCCGGTCTCAGAAACCTCCTTTGAGCCTCCTCTGGCTTGCGATGAAAGGAATGAGAAAGCAAGCCCAGCCGGGCGGGGCAGACACACTGGGTGGCGTGGCGGCGCGGCTTTCTCAGGAGTGGCGCACATCAGGGGAGCTGCAGCCGGTGGCGGCGAAAGCAGGAATGAGCCTACGATTTGATGTGGGGGTTGAGAGAGAAGAGCAGGAGGATTTAGGACCTAATATATTTTTTCTGATTTTGAGGATTGCAAAATGCCAGAAAACATTTGCTAAGCAAAGTAGTAGGAGCTCACCCCAGAGGTGGCTCAGCCCCGGTTCTCAGAAGAGGGGCCAGAGATGCCGCAACAAGAGGAGCCCAAGCATCGTCCACTCCTCTGGCTTGACGTGGCACCAGAAACAGATGGGGACACATCTGTCCTTGTGGGGCGTCACTGCCCAGTCACAGCCAGCCACCTACACTTCCCTTCCTCTCTTTTGTCTTGGTTAGATAACAAAGTCCTAAGTATTGAAGCCCAAATTATCCCAGACCTTTTATAGATAAGAAATCTGAGACTCAAAGAGGCAAAAGCACTTACAGAAGGTTACACAACTTAATTAACATTCAAAATCGACTCCAAACCAATGCTCTTGGCTCAGTCTCTTGTTCCCAAACGCCAGGAGAATCTTACTTTTCCCACTGGTGCAGGGCCGGGCTTCTCGGAGCGGGCTTGGGGTCCCATCTGCACAGACTCCATTTTGTCTGGGGTCTCATCCCAAAGGCATGTGCCCCCCAATCCAGTGGGTGGCCTGGCACTGCCCTCTGGGCACAGAGCTGGATTTCCTGGGGGATGTTTTATTCAAGCCTGAGACCAGCTAAAAGGGGCGAGGAGGAGTTTTGAGGACCTCACCAGTGTCCCCTCAGTGGAACTCCTGAGAGCCAGAGAGGGAGTCTGAGAAAGCACCTTGGCCAGCAGCCTTTCAGGCAGTCTCCACGGAAACCCTCAGCCTGAGCAGGCTGACCCAGGCAGGACAGAGCTTCCTCGCTCCACCAGACCCCACGGCCGGCAGGCCCCACCTACTGCCCTGGAAAAAGGTCCCAGTGCAGAAGCCACCGGAGTCTGGAGAGGGAGCTCTGGGCTGTGCACGGCGGGTGGGCAGAGCGAGGCTCCCGCAAGGGAGGAGAGGCGCTGCTGCATCCTGGCCCCGCCTTCCCAGCCCCTTCTGCGTTGCTGTGACAGCTCAGCCCAGGAAAAGGTCCCCGCCAGTTCCTCAAGGGGGATCTCCCTGTGTTCCAGGAATGAGAGAGCTTCCTAATTTAGCCTGTATTTGCCTGAGATAGATTTTTAATTAAATAAAGAGCCTGATTAGAACCTGCAGAAGATGTGAGAGCAAAATCAGAGGGTATTCCGGCAAAATTGCAAAGCAAACACTTTGGCTAGAACAGAGGGAGGCCCCCAGGGTCTTCCATCAAAGCATCAAGTGAGGAGGGCAAACATGAGAGATTACACAGCCACCAGATGTGCGTTGTTAAAATGCATATCTGCCAGCAGCGTGCTCAGAGAAGCCGGAGGGCTGGTTCACAGAGCCTGCCAGGCTCCAGGAGGGCACGGGGGCTCGGCCTGGCAGCCAAGCCTAGAGTCACAGACACACTGATTAGCGCTGTGTTTCCAGCTCTCAGATGCAATCAGACAAGGAGCAACTTTCAGCTGAGCATTCCCGGGGAGGCAGGGGGAGGAAGCTGGGAAGCGAGGTGGGAAGGGGGGAGGTGTCAAGTGTGCGAGGCTGAGAAAGGCGAAGACTGGGCTCCCAGTCCAGAGCAGTGGCCGGCTGGTTCCCTCTGTGGCCGGCCAGCTGCCGAGGCCCAGGACGGCCTCAGCCCAGGTCAAGACCCGAGTCTCCTACCGCCTGCAGAACATCTCAGGGGGCGTGGCCCCCAGAAAGGGCTGCAGACCTAAGGTGACACACGTGGTTCCAACCTTCTGGATCCCGGTCTCCTCATCCCTGGAGTGAGGGACGGCAGGGAGTAAGAGGATTCCCGAGACCGTGTGGCTCCAAAAAGGACACGACTTCCACTGTCGGTCTGACAGGCTACAAAGCCATTTCAGGAAATCGGGCCATCCCCTGCTGGAACTGGGAGCCGTGTGGTGACTGAGGCACAGAAGAGAAGTGATGCAGGTGGTTTAGACAGCATCCCACTTTGAGGCTGGGAGATGGCACTTCTCGAAGTCCTGTCCAGCCCTGGAGTCCTGGACTTGGCTGTGGATCTTCCCTAGTCCCCCCTGCAAAGGCCTGTCTGCATCCAGCGTTCACCGTACCCAGCCCTCTGCAGAGCCTCGGCTCAGTCGGACATCGCAGGCCCCGGGCCTGTGCAGAGCTGCGCTGTGGTAGGCAGAGCCCTGGCCGGGAGGTAGAGCACCCTCTTGCACCTGACTGGCAGTGCGACTTCGGGCAAGGTCCTTAGGGCTGCACCTGGTTCTCTTCAGTTTAACTCTCTGTAACCAGTACTTAGTACAGAGCAGGTATGCAATAATATTTAGGTTTTTTTCTAAAGAATGAATGGTTTCTGGTTCTTCATCTGTAAAATGGGGGTTATAAAAATTCCAGTCCCATAGAATCACTGTGAAACACACACACACGCTGTAGACAGCACAGGGCCACACACGTCAGTGTTGCACACACACACGCATGCATGCCTGCACACTGATCCTTTTCCCACCTGCAGGAATGCCAGGGCCAAAAAATATCCAGATTATTCCAAGGTCAGAACTATAAGGCTGGCATTGCACTTGACCTTTCCAACTGCCTAGAAACTTGGGAAGCAAGGAGTTGGGGAACCCAGAGCAAGGAGGAAATGCGTGACAAAGATTTGACCAACAAAGATTTACTGAACGCCTGCTACATGCCAAGCACCGATCTAGACACTTGGGACTCATTGGTAAACAAAAGAGGAAGCCGTCCCTGTCGTGGCGGGGCTCGCGCTCCGGCAGGGAGCAAGACGGTCGCCGAGCGACATGCAGACTGAACAAGCAAACTGTGCCGTTAGTGGGATGTTAGACAGAATACATGCTATGGAAAGGGAAGAGTGGAGCAGGATGGGAAGACCGGAAGTGGTGAAGGGGTGCTGAGGGACGGATTAATTACGGAAAAGGGCATTTTCCCAGCCTCCCTCCCCACTTCCCCCTTCTTCCTGGCTCGTTCTAATATTAACTCTGCTGTCCTGTGGCTCTCGTTAGAAATAAGGCTCCCTAAATGAACATGAATTATTTAAGAGGGACACTGAGTCAATTCAAACAAAGAGGGCATCTTTTAAAATTATGTCAAGCCCTGGATACTGAGAGGGGCAAACAGATAAGGTCCAATCTGTTACATGTCCATAACTTGTTCATTTTTCAAAAACAGGCACTCCCATTGCCACAGCTCTGCCAGAGGAGCTGCAGGGTCTCTCCTGAGTCCACCACAGTGACAGCCTCCCCTAATTCCCAATCCCCAAATCTTCTAGGGAGCCAGGTCCAGAGAGGAGCAGTGAATAATTTGGGGTCTGCCAACGAGGGCAGGCAGAGTTTCCACTGGGCGCTGGCTTCTAAACCGTATTTCCAGAAACTGGTTGTGAGAAAGCCATCCACAGTCGCCCAGACATACAAAGGCAGGTTGGTAGGGGATGGCCTGAGCAGTTCTCCAGGGACGAGAACGCCGGACGAAGCCCATGGTCCCGCCAGGGCATACCGGCCCTCAGAGGCTGGACACACCGCCCACGTGCTGGAGCGCTAACAGCCAGCCTGCAGCTCCCTCCCTCCCCAGGCCTCTGGGCCCTCCTTCACACTGTTTCTGCCAGGAATGCCCTTCCCACCTTTCTTCCCCTGGCTAACTTGTGCTCACCTGTCAAGATTCACTTTAAACATCGCCTCCTCCAGGAAGCCTTCCTGAAGCCCACATGGCCTGACTGTCCCCCTCTGTGCCCCTTTGGCCTTCCTTATGCACCTTGATCATAGCAATCAATACATCATATAGAGAGTAACTGTTTTCATGTCTGTTTCCCCCACTGGGTCTCAGGAAGATCTTGCATCCATCACGCCTAGCACAGCCTAGGTTCTCTGTAAATATCTATCATGGTTAACTGAGGCAACAAGGCTTGGGGGAAAATTAGGAGCAGTTCACATGGACCCTCACAGCAGAGAACTTGCCTGGCAGATAGTGAGCCTCAAATGCACATGAGAGTTGTGTTGTGCTGCCTGTGTTGTGTTTAGAGAGGTGATATGGCTTTGTGGCTAAAAGCCCAGATTCTAGAAGCCGGAATGCCTGCACTGGAAGCCTGGCTGTGCCTCCTGGCAAGTTATTTAACTACTCTGTACCTATTTCTCCCTGTGTGGAATGGGGAAAATAATCATAGCTGCTTTCATAGGGTGATAGAGAAGATTTAATGAACAATATACGTAAAGTGCATCTCAGAATAGTGCCTGCTATGCAGCAAAGTACATAAGCATTGGCTGTTAGTATTATACCTGTTTTCATTATTGCCATTACTGCACAATGTTAAGAGACACCAGTGAGGGCCCCTTGCTTCCCAGGGGATCAGACTCTGTGTCCTAGAGAAGCTTCTACATGCAGCAGGCAAGGCAGAGGGGCCGGATTCCTGCAGGCCCCTCCTAGCAGCATGCCTGGGAAGAAAAGCAGAATTGATTTCCTTATCTGCCTATGAAGCATGTTTTGCCTGGGCCCTGGCCTGGTCCTAGGTGCCGCATCTCATTTGTGCTGTGTGCCTGTTTCCTGCCACCTTCATTACCCTGCAACCACCCCCAAATAGGACCAGCAAACAAGGCAGAGATGGAGAGGGAAACAAAAACGCCCTTGTCTCCTGCAGTTCCCCACGGGGCGGCACCAGAGCTGTCCTGTGTCTCGCCCCACACACCTCGCCCAGCCACCAGCTGCTCATGCCCTTCCTGGTGGCTGGGATACCCCAGTGCCACCTGGGCCGGAAGCAGGCTCCCTCTTTCTCCCTTTAGCCACTGCACACTCCTTGCCCTCCCAGCTGAGCTCGGCGCTCACCTGGGGCTCACCTACTCGGGCAGGTCATAGGTGAGCATAACCTGGGGACGTTGAGTTTGCCTTAAGCTGACAAATAGTCTTTCTTTCCTAAATTACATTGTGACTCCCTGAGGGCAGGGGGCTTACACTCTGGGTTCAGTACTGTAT